ATGTGGGCTTTGTTACACCGCATTGCCTTCACTGGGGCTGCCAGGGACGGTAGCAAACCACTCAATCCCTCTTAGCTCATCATCCATCTCTTTATCTATCACCAAACCGCAAAAAAGGAAAATCTTGTTGTAAATGGAAATAAATAAAGGTGATTTTGATTCTTTAACGGCTCAACGGCAAAAACTTTGAACTTCGGACGAAAAACCAAAAACAAAAATGATCAAGAAAAATCTAAGAGCAGAAATTGAAGGAAAAGTCTTTTAAGGAGGAAAACAAAGAACCAAAATTAGAAGAAAACAGAAGATAGTATATTGTATCATATTACAACAAAAATGATAATATCATTATTAAAGCTTTATTTTATGTGAAGATGCAATAATTTTCAACTGGCAAAATTATTCTGTACCAAGCACGTTTTATGTTTTCATGTTTTAGATACAAGCATGCAGGCAAGGAGGGCGAATGAATTTGTCAAATTCTGAGACAAAAAGGTTTCCAAATTGCCACTAGTCATAGCATCAGCAAGCAATATCCCGGCATTGGGGTTAGCCTATGGACAACGTTTCATCAGAAAGAAAAGGGCACAAAAGGAGAGGTTTTGGGATTGCCAGAAGGCTCAAAAGTGCTAAGAATATAGTCCTGCTGGTCTTTTGGGGGTTGGAAGTTCTGCTAAAGGGAACTTTCAAGCTCAAAGCTGAGGCCTATGAAGAAGATGAAGATGAAGAAGAGCTCCATTATCAACTCAGCAAAAATGATTGCCTTCAAAGCACATCTCGTGGCAGAAATCAGTGCCTTGCTTTCTCATTTCCAGCCCTCATTGCCCAGTTGTAAAGTACAACAACAGCAGATGAGCATAATTTTCCTGTTGATAATTCTAACATGTACACCTTACAGACTGGTTACATACAATAAAGGTAACCTTACATCTTAAAAAATATTTTAAACAGAAGGACCAGATCTTAGAACCCTCTCCAGTTTCTCAGCCTTGACGTAATCTTTTTCGGTGAGAGGCCCTGCAGGAAATGGGGTAATTTCCACTGTAAGGTGAGGAGTAGGAAGCTCATCAAACAGAGCTCTAACATTATTGCAGCACACACTTTCACCATGAGCACTCTCCCTCCTGATTTGACAACCCTGCAAACAATAGAAAGTTTCTAAAACATGAGATTCCATGTCACCACCAAAGTATGAAGGACATAAAACTGAATAACAAGAAAAAGGACTGATAAATCTGCTCTTCTATTACCTTGTGGGAAGTGGCATCAGTAAAATGATCATCATCTGACAGTAGGGATGCAACTGCTTTTAGTAGTCGCCGCCCTTCTGATTTGGAAGGCACCCTGTAGTTCCTTTTAAGTGTACCTTTTGTGGTCGGATGCCATTTACTGACCAATTTTCTCTTGTCAGCTGCTTCCTTGTCTACAAGCAGAACAGAGCTAGAATTATTCCTTGCAAGGAAAGCAATGCACTGATTTGAGATTATATTAGCAACAAAAATGACAATAGAAGTAAGCAAATAATAATGATTCAGCTAAAAGCCCCAAATCAATGATTTAGCTACACAGAATGATTGCATGTAGATTACAAAAGATACATAAAATACAGCTTGAGATACAATAAAAGATCCACACGACAAATTGGAATTAGAGTGTGGTATTACAATTAGACTACATATGAAATTACATTGTACATTAACTGTTGAATATTCAGTATTTCCTTCTTCAAGATGGAAAGACAAGATCAATTACAGTAATCCTATCAGGAATAAATCCAAACAATGCCCTTCAGTTTACTTCTCTCACTAACTATAAAGTTTGTCCTTCAGAGAATATGTTTGTTACCAAAAATTTAGAACTAAGCTATAAATAACACAACATAAGAATTAAGATCTCATTGATAGACCATGAAGAAATTCAACAGGAGAAAGCTCTAAGCTATTTTCCCAAAAACAAAAAAGAATAACAAATTTATTTTTAAAAACAAAAATCTACGAAACAAAAATTTTCAGACTCAGTGCTCCAAATAGTTTTAAGCACACATGACACTTTAACAATTTAACCCTACTTATAAGTTCCTCAGGAATTATAGGAAATTAATTACTGCTGCCAAGTTCCTTTAACCCCACTTACATTAGTTCACAACTCAAAGCAATTAAGGCATGGGATTGGAAGCCTTTTATCTATTACAAGAATTACTTGATATGAGATGCCTGATCACTGAGAAATTAACTACAAAGATAAGCTTATCCTCTTTGTAGCTCGAAGTGGAATAGAACTCAGGCAGCCTTGAAGCTCATTAAGTTTTGTGATACCTTCCACAACTGCAAACACAAAGCAGAGTCTAACATATAAAATCAAGTTAACACCTATCTATTCTAAATGACTCTCCTATCAGCCACCTAGGAAGCACGGTTATGGCAGGACACAGTAATAAAACAAATATTCTTTTATATATATTTTGTGTAAAAAATTCAACGTGAACGTAAATATTGATACTTTTTGCATTAAAATATAATCAATTTCTTCACAAAGCGCTCTTGTCATTCAAAATTCAATAAAAAAAATGTATGTGAAAAATATAACAAAAAGGGTAAAGTAGATATGCAATGGAAGGGCCATGGATCAATGACCATACAACATATTAATATCTTTTTTGGGGTTCAAAATCTTGATTTTGTTGATAGGTTGATCTGGGTTTTTTGCTCTGATTGTTGATTCCAAATTTGAGATAGAAAATGTGAAAAAAAAAAAAAA